GTTGATTATATTTGGGAGAAGATTCATTTGCTCCTGGAACTGGTGGTGAAGCCCTGCTGGGGTTCTGCGGGACAACCCCTGGTGTGCCATGACCTGTTCCAAATGCAGCTCAGCTCCGAGCTGCCCAGCACCTTCTTGGATTAGTGCTGGTGAATAAAATGAGGCCCCTAGTCACCCTCTCCCCAACCTGGACAGTGGGGCTGGGGAAAAGGGCTTTATCTTAATGCGTGGGTGGGAATGTGGCACACAGGGCTTGCAAAAGTATAACCATGGACAAAGCTCCAAGCAAAGCAAGGCACAGCAACCATCCCTGCAGGTTGTTTCAGGAGTTAAGCTCAAATAATGGAGGTTTTGGGGGTAAGGAGCCCCTGAGGTCCCCAGTCCTGCTTCTTCCTCAGTGCGTGACTGACACCAGCTAGGCTGTGGCTCCGTCTTGAAAACCTCCCAGGATGTACATCCCTCCCCCTCTCATCCCATAGCTGCACCGTCCTGGCTTAAAAACTAGGGAAAATCCCAGTATCAGTTCCGAGCCTCCCAAACGGAACTTTTTAGCTGTTACTCCTCACAGCATCACCTGGCACCACCAAGAAGAGTTTGATTCCATCACCTTTCACAAAGGAGCACATCCAGTTGTGGGTGCGCAGGATGCATGGCCACAGCTGGGGCCACGGAGCTGGGGTCAGCAGAGCGAAGCTGCCTTCTCGCAAGGACCGTGCTTTTCTGGGTAATGTACAGCACCTTCCAGCACAAGAGGCACTGCAGACAAGCAGCTGCCTGGCAGAAACCTCAGCCCATGGCTGTGAGAAGTGTTTTTCTGTCAGTGACCCCAGAGAAACCTTCAGCAGGGCTGAGCTCAGCGAGACTCACCCCATGCTGCTGAAGAAAAGGATGCACACGTTTACTGATACAGAGATTTGGGAACTTGGGCTGGGAGTGCCTCTGAATGAGCTTGTCCCAAGGTTTTGAGCAATTGGGAGTTCAGGCCTAAGGGTGTGGGAGAACTGGAAAGCGCTGGCTCCATCCGCCTGCCCACCCCCGGCTGAGCCCCCTCCCCGGGCATGCCAACTCCAGCCAGAAGACAGAGGTCTAGGAAACACTCTGGTATGTCACAGGGACAGACTCTAACCCCAGTGTTGCCCCTCGAGATGTGGAAATGCACAACCGTGTGCGCCCAGCTGGCAGGTGGCCAGCTCACACCCCAGAAGCCAGCAGGACCAGCGCCAGTTGGTTTGGGATCTCAGCCCAGGGAAGCCTGTCCCAAGCTCAAGCTCTGCTCCTGGATTTGGTTGGCATTGCTCTTGCCACCCAAAGAAACATTTTGTCCGTTATTAAGTTCACTTCTCAACTTGTATTTAGCTTCATTTTTTGTATTTTTACCAGGAAAAGCACTTGCTTATGTGAAAACAAGTTTACTTTTTCCAGTTATCCTTGGAATAATAAAATATATGACAACCCTCACTACAAATCTTGCGTTGCTTATGCCTATGAGCCACCATGGCAACAAAACTCTTCTTAACCATCCCCCTTCCAAATCGCTAAAATCTCATCTATTTACTCTCCTGGGTTCCTTGTCTGCTGGCAGCCTGTAGCTCTGAGCTCTCCTGAGCTCGCTCTCTCATCACAAACAGTACTCGGCGAGCTCGCACCAACCCCTGCTGTGGCATTATTTCCTCTAACTCATTTCATTGTCATTTTAATATTGTTTGCCTTTCTTTTGGTCTGGTTGCTGTATTTTCATAAGGGAACTCAAGGAAGAATCGTTTCTCAGTGTAGTTAGCTGGCAATAAATCACAGTGCTGCACGTACATCAGCTCTTCTCTTGCGTACATTGCTTTGCATCCAGCACTTGCATTTAGCAGCAATGAACTTCACGTGGTATCTGGTGGCCTGGTCTCTTCGATAGTCTCCTGTCTTCTACAGAATCAAATGTATTTTTGTTCATTTAATCACTTTGTCACTTCACTACTCACTCATTAATACCACTGGCAAATTTTTCCCATTTCTCACCTTTCATTCAGTTTGCGATTCATGAAAACACTTTGTCTCACTTCCTGCAATGACCTCTCCCGCACAGACCTTCCCCAAAGCATGAGGCTGCAGGAGTCCACCCCGTGGGCATGACAGGAAGACCGGGACTAATCTGTGACCAACAGTTTAACCCCTCTTCAGTCCCAGCTAGCTTTCTGTGAAAGTAAGATGACAGACATCTGAAACTTGAGAGCAAAACCTGGATCTGAAAAGCAGAAGATGAAGAAACGGTTGCCTTAAACAACCGGCTGCTGCGCGTTGCTACACCTGCACCTGGTTGCGGCGCAGGGGGCAGATGTGTGAACAGACCTCACGCTGCCTTCCGAACTGCCCTCTGCCTTTTCGTGTTACGACAACTGTCTTGTCACAGGGTTTACAGGTTAACTTTGCGTTATACCTGTAAAACACGTTGGTGCAGAGCACTGTTCACCAGGGAAGGCGGCTCCTAGCACTTGCCTTTGTTTGGAGGCAATTCTTGGTGGCATGCTCCCGCATGGCCACAAGGACGCCTCTCGCAAGAGGTGGCCAGTGCTACCCCTTCCACGGGAAGGAGTCTGCCTCTCACGGTAGGAGACACCAAAACTAACAAAACTGGCAAGGGTGTCAGGTTGTGCCAAGAGAAACACCACAAGCACACAGGGTAACAATGAAACTCAGTTATAGCTTTATTTAATAACTGGTACAAAGTCCCCCTCAGGCAGAGCCTCCCAGTCCCATTCCCTACCTGAAATGGAGCAGAACATGAGCGTGACCCTTGGAGGAGCTGGCTCCCCATGAGTCAGGACTGCTCAACAGTTAAGAAAGGATGTTTTGCGCATCTATTGAAACCTGTAGTAGCCTGAACACTCATCCCTTTTCTCCCATTAACAACTAGACCCTGGCACGCAGCAGGCACTTGCCTTCCACTCTCCATGACCCAGCCAGATGTAAAAAGGCAGCAGAATTGTGAATTCCACGAAGACAGTAAATAGTACCTGCATAGAGGCATTCACTGCTCACACTTCTGACCTGACTCACACCAACATGTGTCTGCTGGCAGTCATTTACATTCACTGATATTTCCTGAGCCTCAGTTAATACCCTGTGCAGACACCCTGCCTGGGGCTGGCAGCCCTGGGAAGCAGAGCTGGCAGTGCAGGAGATTTCCGGATCTCCACCTGGCAAGGGGCACTAATGCCCCTTTCACAACCCATTTGATGTTAAAAATTCACCTGTGCCAGGGTAGAACAGTGACTAGATGTTAACTGCATCTGGCCCTTCTGTAGGAGAGGCAGAGGGTCAGCAGAGGCGGTCTGGAAGCCAGGGCTGCTGTAGTTTAATCCCTTGTACTCGGTTAATGGTGCACCTCGGTTAGTGTAAGTTTACTTGTTAATTGCTTTGCTCTTTCAGGAGGCTCAGGTAAGAAATCACTCTTCTCCTTCTTAACACACATACAGAGATGAGATCAAGACAGTATTTCTGACCATTTGTTTTCCCCACAGCTGCCTGGCATGCCAAGAGTCCTGGGAACACAAAGACCTTCTGGTGGGTTCTGCATTCCAGGCACAGCTCTACCAAAGAGCATCGCCTGCTCCACCGCCTGGAGTTTCACATCATCATGGTCTTGCTTTCCCACATCCCACAGATGCCATAGCAACTGCACCACAAGGGTCCTTTAGCAGAAGCACAACTAGAAAGCAATTCTAAACCTCACAAAGCCACAGAAATTATATTTAAATGAACAGGGAAGACAACGGCTGTCATCTGGATTGATATACAGCACAGACAGGAGATGGTATCAGCATGTACAGTTATGTGACTTACTAAGACCACGGAATGTTAATGAGTTTTAAAGAGGCTCTGATGCCAAGGGCATACAGAAAGGACCAAAGTAATGCCAAGTACAGACTACCAAGGAGGTGGCAGCTCAGATGGGCATGCACAAGTTAGAGAGAACAGTTAATGCCATGTTGGATGAAATGCTAGATTCTGAGTGGGTTCAGTGGGGGCAAGTGGAGTTGTCTGAATCCAGAAGACGGGCTCCTGCCTAACAGGATACTTCCATGGTTTGAGGTGCATCCTGGAGGTCAATTCCTTCTGGGGTTCCAGCACTTCCTTCACCATGGTTGCTGGTATAAGACCGGCTGCGGATGCTCTCCCCAGAGCCCACACTAGAGGAGGAGTGAGTACGGGAACGCATCAGCCTGGTCATACTAGCTGCTGGCACTGCAAGAAAGAACAAGCGTGGGACTTAGAAAAGGAGGAAGTGCCTAGAGCAAGTATCACAGTCACTCAGATATGTGTCACTGGGTAAGCACAAAAGAGCTATATCCTCAGGAAGAAAACTCACTCTTCACTGCCAAAATTAAGTCTTTGCACGTCTAAAGCAATATATTTAAGGCCCAATTTCAAAAGGTCCAAGGCGAGCAAATGCCAGAAGTGTAACTGATCATTTGCAAGTGCAGTCATGTTGAGTGTCTGTGCAAACCAACGCAGCTGTTGTACAGATGACCTTTTGAAAGTCAGTCTCGTCACTCTAGAAAACCACAGAGCTGAAGTCATGCAACAATCAACAAAATACAAATGAAAGGTGAAAAACCATAGCATACATGTTGTACAATGGATCAGCCTAGCTCGCAGCAGGCCAGCAGGACATGCCGAGAGCAATGCACCCGAAGAACCATTCAACTCAGTACACAGACTTGGGCCGAGGCAGATGCACAGTTGAAGGTACCTGACTCAGTGCTTAGGTGGCTGAGCTGCACATAAGGGACTGGAAACAGCATGAGACAAAGAAAGGGATGAATACAGGAAAGAGCCAATTAGTTGCAGCGTGTGACTTAGCAGCTGCACTGCTCCTGGGATCCCCAGATACTTTGCCTTCCACACCCAGCTCACATACTGCGCTGAAAGCTCCCAGTAATTGTGAAAACAGCTGCTAGTGAGCATCTCAGGGAGATCCCAAGCTGACTCAATAATCCATCAGGCCAGATCTCTTCAATGCCTTTAGCTGGAAATTGCAATGTACCTGGTGACCCTACCTCCCCACTGTACACATAACTGCTCAACAGAGAGGTCATTTTCCTATGGCAGGGAAACTAAGGTATACTCTCTAAGTCCAGATACAGAACAGAAATTCATGTCTCTCCTTGAGTTGACAGCATCAGATTTCTGCTACAAGCCTCCTGCAAGGCATTACCTTCCACCTGCAGTGTCAGCACAGGCAGGTCCAACTGTTTTAGCCAATGTGCAGAAGGCACAAGAATAGCTGTTGAGGAACTGGCTTGTGCATTTCTAGAAATGGCAAGCTGCTGATTTGCTTCTCTCTTGTTCTCCCTGAGAGAGGAGGCCTTGCTGGCCAAGCTTAGCAGTGCCAACACAGTCTTGCCCACCAAAGTTGGCAAAACCATTCTGGGGCTAGCTAATAATTCTGGTAGTGGAAAATTATCCCCTGTCCTTCCCCAGTGCTGGAGATCTGAACAGCTGTCAGCCTGACACTCAGGACACAATGTCTTCTGCCTCCAAGCACAAGGAGGAATCCAGAGGGCAGCGCATGCAGTGGATCAAAGCACAGCTCCCTCTGGGCTCTCTGGGTGTCTCAGAAGTCACCCAGCTCTCTGTCCTGCCATTAGAGGGTTTCATTCTGAGATATCGCTTACCCCTGGTGAGAGTCTGAAAGAAATAGGTATGTCTGAGGAGAAAGGAAAGAGCTGTCATGTACCCATCACAACCGCGAGGCTGTACTGCTAACTCCTTCCCCTCTGGAGAAGGTATGCCTACAAGATTTCAGAAGATTTACTGTTCTTGGGAGCACGCTTTTCTGGACTGGCACAAAGATGGACTTACAAGGTTTTACCAACACCAGCAACCAAAAAGAGGTCACCACTCCAGCTGCAGTGTGGATTAAACACAGGCCAGGGACCAACATTGGTTTGCTAAGGCTTGTTAGCACACTAGTTGATTTTCCAGCGTGGATGGATCTCCTGGCAATCACACTAACTCACAGGTGGGGACACAGGTGCCAATGGGCTCAGATGGACCAGAAAGGCTGAGTTCCCTTCACAACAACCCCGCTCCAAAACAGAAAATTTTGTTTGCCACTTACTGTAGCCCATTCCCTGCACAAAGTACTTGAAGGCTTCAGTCAGCTTGCCAGGCTGTGGAAACAGAAAGGGTGGCTTTAGTGCGAGCAGAGCAAGGAGCTCTGTACAACTCAAATGCCGTGGGACAGTCGAGAGGCGTTTCTCACCTGAACTACCTGGGGCAGGCCCCCGCAGTCAGCCATCTGCAACAGGAAACAAAAGGGAGGTTGAACCATCCTTCCCACTCCAGGAGGACAACCCCAGAACCATGCCAGCACTGCTCATCCCACTGGGGCTGATGGCACCAGGCTGCACTGCTACGAGGCACACTTCCACCATCTTGTCTCTAAAGCTGAAGCAAGGCCTGGTGATACATCTTCTGGGAGTCTGTTGCTAAAGGAACCCAGCACCTTGGAGGCCGCATTACCAAGCGATCTCAGGCCGTACTCTAGAAGCCCAGGAGTAACCCTCCACCATCCTGGCTCCTCCTGCCACACTTCCCAAACCTGTCACTTTACACTTCTATACAGCAGCTGTCTGGCACACTGCGGAGCCATAGGTGAGGATGGGAAGGACTGGTATAAAGCTAGAAAAAGTTATGTTGTTGCTGGCAGAGAGCAGGGTGGAGGCAAGGCACCTCTGCTAACTCTCAGCAGAGACCTGCTAACTCTCAACTGCTGATTGAAGATAACAGAGAAGTGACCATAAAGCAGGGATTCAGGGACCCCCTGACAAACTCTTCTCTCCCAAGTCTGGCTCCATGCAGGAGAGAACACAGCCCTGAATAACTGTCCACGAAGTTCTTAAAGTTAAATGTATGGAAGGCAAAAACCTAAGTGGAGCTGGCCTCAGCAAAAATAATGTCTTTGTGCAGGTTGGAATGATTCTGGAGTGGCACTCACCTTCAGAAGGGTAGTTTTAGTTGGGTCAAGACGTGAATTGCATTCAACCTAAAATAAAAGGAGGAAAGAAGGACATGATATCACACAGAAAACTTAAGAGTCAGATGTAAAATGTGGGGTAGCTGCACCAGAGGCAGTGGCTGTCTTCAGCAATGGGAGCTTCTCTGGGTCCAAGAAGGACTGAACAAGAAAGCAGGGAGCATGTAGGAAGAGAACACTGAATGAAAGATGCAGAAAGGAAAGGCAGATGTTCTCATTCAAGGGGACCTTGTGGTGACGGAATGTCACTGTTCTGAGAGATGGGGCCGTGACTTCAAGGGAAATCATCCCCTGGTTTTGGGGATGCACCTTCTGGGCTCTGACAGCAAGACTGGGAGGGAAGGAGACTTCTGTGCAGTGCAGCATGGAGGGAGATCACTCAATCCCCTGGCCAGACAAGGAGGCCATGGCCACCTCTTCTCTGTAAGGCTGCTGCAAAAAAGGGAATAGGTGGGGGCCCTATAGGAAAAGCAAGCCCAGCAGGGGAAATTATTATGAGCTGGGAACCTGGGCACCCAGATAGGCAAGTCAAGATCCAGAAGACCCTATCCCTGGGAAGCAATGAGAATCCTCAGGAATATTATCCTAGCAAAGTCAAAACTTGGAGAATGTCTCAAACTTCTAGACCAAACAGACTGATGAAAAGGCAACAGGCTGTGACCAGAAAAAGCCCTGCAGCAGTTCTCCATGCACAGCTCCTAGGTCCAAGCTACTGCTTTAGGAGACTCCTACACTATTGCACAATTTCTTAAGATAACTTCTTTTCTTCACAAACCCCTGGTCTCCCCACAATCACTGGCTGAAGGGAAGGAGCAACATCCACCGCAACCACGCTGCACTGTGCCATGCCCTATTTATAACTGTGCTGGGAGGGAAGTGGGTTATAGGTGCCTGCAGAGAACAACAGGAAGGAGATGCTTTTAAGTGTTGCCTTACAGTGCTTTTGCAGAGCTCTATGTGACTCCCCACCATAGGAATTGGAGTCACACTGCTTATTTTTGAACTCCAGCCAGCCTCAGTACAACAGCAAGAGAACAGTAATTCATGACTTGAACTGAACGCCAGGCTGGCAGAGCTCAGGGAAATACGGAAGTTCCTGAAAGGGGTCCTCTGCATCACTTGTTGAGCAAGGATGCTTATTCAGATCCTGCCATCCTCACCTCAGAGCTGCCCTGCAGAGCCATTAAGCCTCCCGAGCCTCGGCTCTCCTACTAGTGGCGGACAGCTCTCAGTAGCTGGGGGACTAGAAAAGAGCTTCAGACAAAGAGCCACTTTCAGTGACTAGTTCTGGGCAAGGTGAAAGCACTGCTGGGTGAGGCAGGTTTGCCAAGTGATTTGTGGGGCTGATGTCGTGAGAGGAAAGAATTCACGTATACGTACCACTGCTTCCACGGCAGGCGAGTTGTCACCAACCACTAGCAAGGCAGGACACCTGGTCAAAACCCAAAACAGAGAGATGTTACTCACAGTGCATCTGAGGGATTTCTGAGAAGGTTGAGCTCTGTGAACCAACAGCCTCATGAAAGGTTAACAACACTCAGCAAAATCCCGACCTGCCACCACATCATGGCATTTTGTTGCACCAAAACATCCTCCAGGGCTTGCATACGCACCCATACTGTCCCCTCCATGCACACCAACTACCACTACTGTTGCACACATGTTAAAAGATGTGCCTAGGGCTGGCAGAAACACCATCCCAGGCTGCAAAAGGGAGCATGCTCTCTGAAATGAACGTTGGTTAGGAACTTAAGAATAACCACATGCAACAGAGTTTAATGCTTCTGAGGCTGGCTACTGCTCAGCACTATATTTTGGTCTGGATTTTAGAAAGAAACACAAAAAAAATGTCAGGGAATATACTGAAAAATGTCACGATACCAAAGCCTCTGCTGGTAAATCTGTGCCCTTATATCCGTTTTTATATGTATTGTAATTCTAGAAGAACAATTAACATTCAATGTGTAAAACATACACAGGAAGTTACTGACCAAGTGCCTATGAACTTACACTATTCATTTACAGATCAAGGTAAGAAAGGGGTGGGTAGAGGCCCCACTTCTGTGTATTGACTAGATGACAAAAACTAGACTAGAGAGGCTGTGAGCCACAGACCTCAGAGCCTAAGGAGACAGAGGATCTATATGCAAGTCTATTGGCACAGAGATCCACACTTCCACAAGAAATATTTTAAGGGTCTGCAGATCCCTCTGAGTCACTTGAATGGACGGACAGTGGTTTGTGACTTTGCGCTGCCTGCATGACAGAGAGTAGCACGATTGGCTTTGCCTGGAGACCAAGAAGGGAAATCCACCTCTTTTAGGTTAGCCAAGATCTAGGGGGCCTGGCTGTGGGTGCCTAAAACATTCCTGGGACTGGCAGGAGCAGAATTTCACACAATTTCCAAAGAGCAAAAAGCAGAGCCTGTGCAGCAGTCTCTAGCCCAGCTCAAGCATCCTGCCTCAGCACTGCAATTCGCAGTCTTCATGTGCTCTACACATTGGAGATAATTTGCGCCTTTTCCTTTCTTGCTTGGAATCTGAAAATTTACTTATATTTCCCCTGTGCTGATTATCACTAGTTCTCCAGTGTCTGTCCCTTCTCTGGTGTACCCTGCACAGACTATCCCCTCCCAGATGAAAGAGTCACCGCCAAGGTGAGAAAACACCACTGCATTCTCTGCATTCAGAACCCACTGCCATCTCTGGGAGAATTGTGCAGGTAACTTTTTTTGGCAAGGTGGGGGAAGGCAGTCAGTAGCAACAAACAAAAACCTGCCTCCCTAATTTTTCATGCAAAACAACCAAACTAACAGCTCAGCAAGTACAGTGACTGCTGGCTGGATATACTTATTCCTCCGACCCTGCCTTCTGGAGAATCTCAGTGTGTTCTCAATGAAAGGGCTTCCAGACACCTCTCTGCCCCACTCAAGCTGACAGCGCTGCACCAAAGCCTGGGACAGTCTGAACAGTATTCCCAGCACTTGGGCTTGTGAGGGTTCTTGCTGAGAAGCAGCAACAGCTTTTCTGCTGAAGGGACTACACAGAAAGTAACTGATACAGGCTGATTCAGAGCAACTTACTTGAGTGTTTTTGCAGTATTTTCATTGATGCCAAGAACTGGTCTCTCAATTTCCAGGTCTCTACGACTGAAAGACAAAACAGAACAATTCTCCATCAAATCAGCAGAGGAAACTGTTATTCTGGGAGCATACAAAATCCAACCAGGAGTGCTGGCTCCAGCACCCAGGCAACAGGTTATGACTCCCTGTGTCATGCCGTGAGCAGGAGCCCCAGCGGTAACTGCCAGAAAACAGGATCCACGCTCTCATGGCAAGCTTGCTGTGTACTTAGAGAGATGATCTACTGAGGTGTGAAAGGGTCATCCAGGCATGAGGCTGAGCTTGGCTCAGGATAATGGCTGAAGACTAGGCTTAGGACAAAGGTTCATATGACATAATATCCAATAGAATAATACATACGGCAGCAAATCTACTGAGCATGGAAACTATGGGAGCAACGTAGCAGGCAAAAAGGTATTCTATACCTGTTGTATGAGGTGAGGAACAGCTGAAGGTTATCTTGGTTAATGTCCTGTGCGATATGAAGCCTGTACGTTTGGATCAAATCTAGATTTGCCTGCAGTTCCTCCTGTACAAAAGCAGAAGAATTTAAAGACAGGGAATATCACCTTTTTCACAAGTAAAGAAATGATGCTCATACAAATACTGAAGCATTAAACTGCCTCCATACACATCGTTCCCCTATGAACAATAACACAGAGGGCAGAGACTCCAGATTGCATTAGTACCTAGGCTACGTTAAGTGTTTCTGTGACATGGCTGTTAAGCGCCATACTTTGGTAATGTGACTACACTTTTACAAATGGCAGTGCACATGCTGCTGCAGGAGTACAAAGGTATCCTGAAATGGGATGTTAGCTCCTGAGCCTCAGTAATGCTTATAGAGATACAAATCACACTGTTTTAGGAAGGTCTTCTGCTTATGCTTAATGTTAAAGAAGCAAAGCTTTATAGGTAAGCCCCAATACTGGGACCAAAGGAAAATTTAATCCCAACACCCAATTCTACGAAGAAACTGCATTCCAATGAGAGCTAGAGAGAGAGGGAGAAAAGGGAATGCAAGGAAGCACTACATATAATGAAGTGGCTTGAAAGCAGGGCGAGAACAGCACGTGCTCTAAGCAGGAGGAAGCTATGCGACTCCTTCCCATGCTGATGTGTGCTGTTGCAGGAGGGCTTCAGGTCAGGGACTGATCTGCTATATGTCATATATAGTGTGCACGAGGCACAGACTCTCTCAGTTGCCCAATAAGCTTGCTGGTTGGAAGGCAGCAAATCCCAAACAGAAGGCATTGCTGCATCCAAAGCTTTGAGGAGGGGCGGGTTTGCCTTGCTGAAACTGAAGGGGAAGACAAAGAGCAGAATGCAGCAGTTCAATGTCTGGACACATACAATATCCCACTGTCAACTCCCAGCTGATCTGTGCCCTACCCACAGCCCAAATGCTTCCATGCTGGCTACAGAGAACCAGCTGCCACTTGTTTCTACAGACAGTTGCCTGGGCACCACAAAGACAGGAGTTCTAGCACTACTGTGTGGGACACTACTTCCTCAATGGGTCTGGAGTCTGGAGACATTTAGGGCAAGTGTGAGGATGCGCATGCTCCCCGCAAAGCCCTGGTGCGAGCTTGCCACATTGAGAAGACAGTACTGTCTGTGGCAACCCTTATTTGATGGACCAGAGCTATTTCAGAGCAGGTACATACAGAAGTTATAGCTCCATGTACAGTTGCACAGGCAACATTAACACTTGCTGGGTACTTACATGGCCAAAATGGTGCGCCAAGACAATATCCACTATGTTGGTTGTCCAGCCTGAAAACTGAAGAGTGACCGTGAATGAGGAGGAGGGAGAGTAACCGGTTTCTTTACAAATTTCAAAGCAGCTCCTCAGAGTAAAGAAAATAACAAAGAAACTAAGCGATATAAGAAACAAATGCCTGAAGCTTGGGATGGGCGTGCAAGGCTCCAAAGAAGCCTGTGCACACACAACACACAGCTCTCGAGAAACTTAGAACCCTGAATAACTGCAAGTGGCCAGAATAACACAATAATTAAAAGATCCATTCAACCTCAGCCAAATGAAGCCTGCAAGCATGAGTACTAAATCAGAGGAAAGCTGAATGCTCAACAGCCACTCATCTCCAAACAGATTACCAGGATTTCTCATTCACATATGATTACACCCACCCCTGCTCCTATGGTGGAGGCCGTACTACACCCAGACTGAGAACGCAGCAGGGACAGAAATGAGATTGTACAGTTTTTGCCATAAACCGACAAATTCCTGTACTCTGTCCTTTTTCTTCGTACTCTACACACTGTGGAGAGGAGATATGCAGGGGAAGGAGAATCTCACCTTGGATGCTGCCCAGTCAATCCAGCCTTTTGCACATGGATCAACATTAATAAGAACGAGTCCCTCCACCAGTTCGGGGTGGCTGAGCTGTGGGGAGAGAGCACAGGCACACTCAGAAGGATGATTCAGCCCACACGTTGGTCAACGGCAGATGCAGCAACTGGAAAGCTTCTTGCAAAAGGAAGACAGAGTAAAATGAAGACTATGTGGGGAGCTCCTTCTGTGCCAGGCAGCCAGTGGCCTTTCCAGAGCCTGGCCCAAAGCTGGCTCCCAGCCAGACCTTATTCGATTCAATTGTTGGCACTGAGGGATTGACTGCTCACACAGCACCTGCAGCCTGAGCAGGCCTCAGCAGTGTCTTCTGGTGACCCAAGCATCTGGTGCAGCCACAGGTCCTGCTCAGGCTCCTGTGTATTACAGGGCTGTGTGCAGTGACTCTCTTTGCTCCAATCTGGCACCTCCAGGAAGGACCTGGACAAACTCCTGTGCCCGGAGAACACCTTCCTTCCACTCCTCAAGGAAGAGGCAGTCTCCCAGTGGAGATGTGGCAAAATGGCAAGATTTGGCAAATGGCACAGGAGTTGGTGATGAGGTCTCGCAAGCACTTGCAGCCTGAGCAGAGGCCTGGGAAGCTTCAGCTGCAGGGGCACCTGGCTCACCAAAGGGTACCCCCACTGCCCCCACAGACACCCCTTCCCCTCCTCCAGCCTGGCATCCCCAGCACCCTGCAGTTTACCTTGGGGGGTGTGTGTGGGGAGCATGGGTACAAAATACTTGGAGAACTGCTTGCAAACACAAACCCAGCAATCTAACACAACCAGAGAACTTTGAGCTTTAGGCTTATTCCACAGCTGAAATTTTACGGCAGGGCTTCTGCTCCCTTCTCTATATTTGACACTG